CAGCAACTACCAGAAGCTAGGAGAGAAACATTAACAAATTCTCCCTCAGAGCCTCCAGAAGGAACCAACTCTGATGACACCTGATCTTAGGCTTTTAGCCTCCAGAACTGTGAGATAATCTATTTTGATTAGTCCATCCAGTTTGTGGTACTTTGTTATGGTAGCCCTAGAAAACTAATACATGTCTTTTACTATGAAAATTGACATGATGATTCCTTGGCATAGTTAGGATGACAAAATATAGTCTTACCATAACTAAAAAATAATCAACCACTCTGACAAGTGTGAGGTGATATCTCATTATAGTTTTGATATATATTTCCCTGCCCAGCAATTGTACTACTAGGTATTTACCCAGAGGATACAAAAATACTCTTTCAAAGGGCACATACACCCCGATGTTTACAGCAGCATTATCAGCAATAGCCAAAATATAGAAAGAGTCAAAATGTCCCTCAACTGATGAATAGATAAAGATGTGGTGTGTCTGTGTGTGTATGCATACATACGTACATATAATGAAATATTACTCAGCCATTTGCAAGGACATAGATGGAGCTAAAGTATATTATGCTAAGTGAAGTAAGTTAGTCAGAGAAAGGGACACCTGGGTGGCTCAGTGGTTGAGTGTCTGCCTCTGGCTCAGGGTGTGATCCCAGGGTCTGGGATTGAGTCCCGTGTCGGGCTCCTCGTGGGGAGCCTGCTTCTCCCTCTGCCTGTTTCTCTGCCTCGCTCTCACTCTCTTTCTCTCATGAATGAATACATAAAATCTTAAAAAAAAAGTCAGAGAAAGACAAATGCCATATGATATCATTCATATGTGGAATTTAAGAAACAAAACAGATGAACATAAGGGAAAAGAGAGAGAGACAAACCATAAAACAGACTCTTAACAATAGAGAACAAAGTGAGAGTTGATGGAGAGGAGGTGGGTCAGAGATGGGCTAAATGGGTGATGGGCATTAAGGAGGGCACTTGTTGGGGCACCTGGGTAGCTCAGTGGTTGAGCATCTGCCTTTGGCTCAGGTCATGATCCTGGAATCCTGGGATCAAGTCCTGCATTGGGCTCCCCAGAGGGAGCCTGCTTCTCCCTCTGCCTATGTCTGTCTCTTTCTGTGTCTCTCATGAAAAATAAATAAAATGTTAAAAAAAAAAGGAGGGCACTTGTGATGAGCACTGGGTGTTAAATGTAAGTGATGCATCACCGAATTCTACTACTGAAACTGACATTATAATGTATGTTAACTAGAATTTAAATAAAAATTTGAACCAATGGGGGACCTAGGTGGCTCAGTTGGTTAAGCAGCTGCCTTAAGCTCAGGTCATGATCTCAGGGTCCTGGGATCAAGCCCCACATTGGGCTCTCTGCTCAGTGGGGAGCCTGCTTCTCCCTCTCCCTCTGCCCCTGCTTCTGCTTTCTCTCTCTCGCTCACTCTCAAACAAATAAATCAAATCTTTTTTAAAAAATTGAAACAAAAAAATCAGCTACAAAAAATATCATGTAAAAGAACTACTAAAAGCCACTTAAGAAATGGAAAATCATTTAAGAAACAGATCCTCCCAATACAAAAGCTCAAAAGTCAGCAGACTGGAAAACCAACTACAAAGTCCTTGATTCTGAGCATACAGTCTGGAGTACAACCAAAACAATAAACACTAACTGAGTAGAATGAAAGGAATTGTCTGAGTTGAAAGAAATGCAATCAGATTGTCAACGTTACTAAGATTTATTGAGTAAAAGCTCCTTATACAACTCAGTAGTAGTTCTGCACCCATTGTTCACTTTCTCCATCCTTGGTCTTTGTACCTGAATATTTCACAAAACTGTTTTTTTCTTTTGCTGAAGTGTCAGTAATACATGAGGACACTTTGTCTGTCAATGATGTACAATTTCAGCAAGGGACATTACTGCAATCATATCTCATCCCATGAGGGCCTGTGTATATGCTCACAATTGGTCCACTAAGGGTCTGGCAAGTATAGAAGCTTAGTTCCAGAGGCAATATTGATAGTTCACTTGTCCTTGGTCAACTTGTAGAATACTGTCCTAGTTTCCAAAGACCATCATGATCCCAGTCATCTCATAAATATTCATTTATTCATAGGTGAACAGAATCTTCCCCCACATATCTAGCCATGCTAATCAATTCCACTGGGGCCACTGTCAAACCATTTTTTTCCTTAAGATTTTATTTATTTGTTTGGGAGAGAGGGCGTGTGAGCGAGAGAGAGAGAGAGAGAGAGAGAGAGAGAGAGAGAGATAGCAAGAGCACCAGCAGAGGGAGAGGCAGAGGGAGAGAGAGAGGGAGAGGGAGAAGGAGAAGCAGGCTCCCTGCCTCAGTGGGAGCAGGGAGCACAATGCAGGGCTCGACCCCAGGACTCTGGGATCATGACCTGAGCTGAAGGCAGACGCTTAACCAACTGAGCCACCCAGGTGCCCTGTCAATGATACTTGGTGTGACAGTCTTTTTCCCATGTGGGGCATACCTATATCAGATTTTCCGTCATTCTGATTATTTCTAATGACAAGGAAAAACTTTTTATAAATATTTTACATAGCCATTCGTATTTCATTAACTGAGGAAATTTAAACTAATTCTGAACTTCATTGCATAAGGATACATTTCTATTTTTCAAAATGCTAATGTTATCCTCAATTAAAGCACGCACTTTAGATTTTAAATTTTTAACACATAATTTTTTTTTTATTCAGAAAAACCCTTCAGACTTTTGAATAGAAAATTGGGGTTTAAACAAACATTTGTAGCCCTTAGGGAACAACTGGAAGTATATGATTCTTGCAGAAAAACCCTAACATACTAAGCCTTATTTAATCAAATCAGTAGTCATGATGATGAATAAAAAGTAATTCATAGAAATGTAAAGTACCACAACTTATCAATAGTGACTTTTTTCCCACACTTAATTAGAATACAAAATTGATCAGGGATAATCAGGTTCAGTACAAATTGAGTGAAGCCCAATTACATATTATTTTCTTGCTATTCAATTAGCCTTTTCATCTTATTTCCCCTACCTATTCCTTCCCAACAAATTAAACATCCAAGGATTCATGTGAAAAATGGGCAATCCTTGTATCCTTGTATAGTATAACTAGCTTAGTTTTAATTTTTTAAAATTTATTTATTTATGATAGTCACAGAGAGAGAGAGAGAGAGAGAGAGGCAGAGACATAGGCAGAGGGAGAAGCAGGCTCCATGCACCGGGAGCCCGATATGGGATTCGATCCCGGGTCTCCAGGATTGCGCCCTGAGCCAAAGGCAGGTGCCAAACCGCTGCGCCACCCAGGGATCCCAACTAGCTTAGTTTTAAAAACTACTCTAAGATAGGTAATTTTTCCCTACCAAGAGGAAACTAGCAATTACGAAAATACCATTAAGAACTAGCACGGGGGAAAAAAGAACTAGCATGGGCATTCAGCAACATAATTCTAAAAATTATTTCACTTATTTATTAAATGGAATAATTATATTTCATCAGAATGTATAATTTTATCTACTTATTCATGTAAATAAATAGAGTTCTCAATTATGTCTTTAAAAAATCAAGGTGCAGCATGTTTCTACACACTAGCAGCTTGAAGATATACGGTTTATCTTCAATATAGTTCTTATTTGGAAAACATCTTTGAAAGTATCACTATATTGCTTTTAAGGGCATACAGAGGAATTAGATATGCAAATTCTATAGAAAACAGAATTTTAGAAACTTGAGAAAATAAGGTAATAAATAGTTGCTCTAACTTGTGTGTGTGTGTGTGAGAGAGAGAGAGAGAGAGAGAGAGAGAGTAACAAATGTGTTTCTCCACTGGTGAGAAAGTCTTGGGATGGATGAATCACTTAGTTGAAAGTTCATCTACTACAACAAATGGAGAACGGAATCAGAAGATGATATGGAAGATTGTGACAGTGTTGATTCTAACTGATAAATTACAAGAAGATCCTGTACTGCTAATGTTTCTTTTTTCTTTTTTATTTTTTTTACTTATTTATGATAGGCACAAAGTGAGAGAGAGGGGCAGAGACATAGGCAGAGGGAGAAGCAGGCTCCATGCACCGGGAGCCTGACATGGGATTCGATCCCGGGTCTCCAGGATCGCGCCCTGGGCCAAAGGCAGGCGCTAAACCTCTGCGCCACCCAGGGATCCCTGCTAATGTTTCTATCAAGAATATCTGAAGATTGGAGAAGAAAGTGCCAGTTGTCCATAACAGAATTCAAAAGATCTCTGTGCACTCTGCTTTGTCTACAAATGAACACAAAATATATGAAGCAAAGAACTGGCACTAGTTACAAGAGCAATTTCACAAGATCAGTAAAACAAAGCCAACAGTAAAATTAAATAAAACCCCATTCACTGTATTTCCCATATTGATTATTAAAACATGCTTTCTTGGCACGTTTTTCAATAATATGATCAGCCTAACAAAGCATATAAAAATCCAAGGAAGAAAGGATGGGCAGAAGACTTTTTTCCAAGCTTGTATTTTTATATATTTCTCTAATACCTCTTTTAAAATATTTTATTTATTTGAGAGAGACAGAGACAGAAACAGGGTAGAGGAGCAGAAAGAGAGGGAAAGGGAAGGGGATATCAAACAGACTCCATGCTGAGTGCAGAGCACCTTCCACTCTGGACAAGGGGTTTGATCTCATGACCTGAGATCATGACCTGAGCCAAAACCCAGAGTTGGACACTTAACTAAGTGAGCTGCTCAGGCACCTCTTCTCTAATACCTCTTAATCAAATGCCAAGACGTCACTTCTAAAAATGTATCCAGCATGTATTAATGTCACACATAAATGTTAGGGAGAAGAACTAAAGTTAATAGCATTCATTTGGGATATTTTATAACTTCTAAAAATATTTAATAATACTTCTGAATATATACAATAGTAAGAATAGATTTAAAAACCAAGTGAAAAATGGCCAGTGAATGTTTAAAACCTCATGTTAATACTCACCACATTCATATCAGACTGTTGGGTAGTATCAGAAGAAACCACGTTGGTTGTGCCATAGAAACTCCTCTTTGGCTGATCTTCAAATATTTCACCTATGACAAAAAAAGCAGGTCAAAGTAGATATGTTTTATCTAACATGTGTTTGCTTTTAATTGCAAAAGTAAAACTTGCTCATTGCAAATAATTTACAAGATACATAAAAACACAAAGGAAAAAGTTTTATATTCCCACTATCCAGAGATAATCACATTTCAGTAATTCCTAAATGTGTGTATAAATGATTGTTTTTAAACAAAATTGGATTTGTATCATATATAATACTGATATGCAATCTACTTTTTGTTTCTAATGATTATAATTTCCTCATATTATTAACTAAATTTTTCAACATGATTTTATAGAGCTATGTAGTAAGGCCACACAATAATTTAATCTCATTCCTTATTTTAAATGTTTAGGTTGTTGCTATCTTTTTTTGCCAAGCATATACAATAAACTAAATAGACCAATTCTTTTATAGCATACAATGAACAAAATACACATATTTTTAAAGATTAAGGAGACATATCTAACCTCAAAAACTGCATTGCTATAATCGTTACCTCAAAGTAAATGCTAAAATCTGTACACTGTTACACCATCTGGATGAGAGAAAACTGATGTTCAAGCCCATAACTAATAAGGTGGAACATAAGACCACCTACTCATTAAAAAATATCCCTAGGAATAGGGGTGCCTGGCTGGCTCAGTTGGTAGAGCACGTGACTCTTGGTCATAAGTGCAAACCCAACGTTGGGCATAGAATTTACTTAAAAATAAAATAAAATAAAATAAAATAGGGGCATCTGGGTGGCTCAGTTTGTTAAGCGTCCGTCTTCAGCTCAGGGTCCTGGGATAGGGCCTGGTGTCAAGCTTCCTGCTCAGCGGGGAACCTGCTTCTCCCTCTTCCTCTGCCCTGCTTTCTCTCTCAAATAAATAAATAAAATCTTTAAGAAAATTTTTAAGTAAAATTTTAAAAGTTTAAAAAATATCCTGGGGCGCCTGGGTGGCTCAGCCTGTTAAGCATTGGCCTCTTGGTTTCAGCTTAGGTCAACGACCTCAGGGTTGTTGTATCAAGCCCGTTGAGGGGCTCTGTGCTTGGCACAGAGTATGCTAGAGATTGCCTTCCTCTCCCTCTCCCTCTCCTCCCCTGCTCCGCGATCTCTCTCTCTCACAAATAAATTTTAAAAAACTTTAAATATGCATATATCTTTAAATATATAGTTAAAGATTTAAAAAAATATATATATATAATTAGAAATTCCACAGACCTTCCTTAGGAGTATAATCATGGCTCATAAAGCTCAAAAGAGGTCTGGGTATCTTGTCCCATGCCAGATTACAATTACATCTTTATGGAAAAACTATTCACCTTTCTTTTGGGGTTTAAATTAAAAGCCAGACAAATCAAGACAAATTCATCATATAAAAAAATTGAAATCTTCTTTGCTGAAACCATCATTACTGGTAAAATGCTCTTTATAGCTGTCTGATTTTCTGCAGATTTCTTAGAATTTCCACTTGAGGCCCTATTTGCCCTTGCCTATTTCTAGTGGAAGTAAATGCAGCTTATCATTATACAATGTACCTCCCTGTGCTTGGATATTCTAACTGCTATCTCACACTCTCTCCCATTTTATATAGTCCTCGTTCTTTTTTCTCCCCCACCCGGGACCTCTTCGGATTTTTTATACCTCTTCCCCCCACATTTCATTTGTATTAAGAGGCTCCAAATAAGATATCATTTATTATTTCCCAGTGGATATTCATATTTCCAAATAGATAAATGAAATTAAATTTCTGTTTAATCTGTTACTGTATTTAAAACTCCAGATGAATTCTGACCAAACTTGTACAGGCTATGGAAAAGTCTGACTTAAAATATAGACTATGTAGTAGATACAGAATTTGCTTTGGCATTCTTAGGGATAATTCAAAGAAAAGAGGTAGTCAGCCTCCAGAGCAACTGAAAACCAGGTACAAGATGGTCGTGTGAGACATGCCACATCCACCAAAACACTGAGCAGAAACTGAGTGTATTATGTCAAAATTTTAATATAAAAGCAATTTTTAAAATAATAAATTCTAAGAAAATTCCAGGAATTTTCAATGTCATAAAACATTTTATGCATAAATGTCTTAGAGAATTACTTTATTTATTTTTTTAAAGATTTATTTATTTATTTTAGAGAGAGAGGGAGTGAGAGAGCATGAGCAAGTAGGGAGAGAGGCAGAGGGAAAGGGAAAAAGAAAAGCAGACACTGTGCTGAGCATGGAGTCCAATGACGTCTTCAATCTTAAGACCTTGAGACCATGACCTGAGCTGAAATCAAGAAGTGGATACTGTACTGACTGAACTACCCAGACACCCCAAAAGGAGAATTATTTTAATTTAGTAAAACACTGTCTTCCATTTAAGTGTATTTTATTTCACTGATTTTTTTAAGATTTTATTTTTAAGTAATCTCTACACCAACATGGGGCTTAAACTCACAACCCCAAGATCAACAGTCACAGACTCCACCAACTGAGTCAGCCAGGTGTCACTAAGCATATTTTATTTTAAATACTCAAGTGACCCCAACTTTCTAACAGCTCTTACACTATTAGTATATTTATTTATTCATTCGTTCATTCATTCATTTATTCATGAGAGACACAGATAAAGAGGCAGAGACATTGGCAGAGGGAGAGCAGGCTCCCTGGTGGGGGGCGGGAGCCTGATGCTGGACTAAATCCCAGGACCCCAGGATCAGGACCTGAGCCAACGGCAGATGCTCAACCACTGAGCCATCCAGGTGCCCCAAACTATTAGCATATTTAAATGTTTTGTCAACAGGAGTTCTTAACTTCACAGCACAGAGGAAAGACCCTTAAGCTAGGTCATTGATCTATCATCATAAAACAATGCTTTGTTTGAAAGAGTGTTTTCCTGAATTGATCTAGTCTTAGTCTTAGAATATAGTAAGTACAAGCTGAGTTAGATGTGTTGTTAGGACAACTGCCATTAATTAATCCAAAATACCCCAAAGAAACAGATGCAGTGAAATGTTGGAACACCTGCGCCCCAATGTTTATAGCAGTAATGTCCATAATAGCCAAACTGTGGAAGGAGCCTCGGTGTCCATCGAAAGATGAATGGATAAAGAAGATGTGGTCTATGTATACAACGGAATATTACTCAGCCATTAGAAATGACAAATACCCACCATTTGCTTCAACGTGGCTGGAACTGGAGGGTATTATGCTGAGTGAAGTAAGTCAGTCGGAGAAGGACAAACATTATATGGTCTCATTCATTTGGGGAATATAAAAAATAGTGAAAGGGAATAAAGGGGAAAGGAGAATAAATGAGTGGGAAATATCAGTGAGGGTGACAGAATATGAGAGACTCCTAACTCTGGGAAACGATCAAGGGGTGGTGGAAGGGGAGGAGGGCAGGGGGTGGGGGTGAATGGGTGACGGGCACTGAGGGGGGCACTTGACGGGATGAGCACTGGGTGTTATTCTGTATGTTGGCAAATTGAACACCAATAAAAATAAATTTATTATTAAAAAAAATAGTGAAAGGGAATAAGGGGAAAGGAGAGAAAATGAGTGAAAATATCAGCGAGGGTGACAGAACATGAGAGACTCCTAACTCTGGGAAACGAACAAGGGGTAGTGGAAAGGGAGGTGGGCAGGGGTTGGCGTGACTGGGTGATGGGCACTGAGGGGGGCACTTGATGGGATGACCACCAGGTGATATGCTATATGTTGGCAAATTGAACTCCAATAAAAAAATTAATCCAAAATACAAGCAAGATTAAAGTACATTTCGATTTTAATTTCTTTCCCTATAGTTTTGCTCTCCTTCTTCCCCTTCTCCTATTCTCCTTTTCCTTCCTTTTTTTCTTCTCCTTCTTCTTTCCTATCTTAATGGGTTTTTCACAAATACACATCTTAAAAGTTTAACCTTCTTTCCTATCCATTTTCCCTCCTTAGTTTTTAAAAGATGTATTTATTTACTTAAGAGAGAGAAAGAGTGCACAAGCGGGGAGGAGGAGCAGAGGAAGAGGGAGAAGCAGAACCCCCACCAAGCAGGGAGCCCAATGCAGGGCTCCATTCCAGGACCCTGGGATCATGACCTGAACCAAAGGCTGACACATAACTAACTGAGCCACCCAGGTTACTCCTCCCCTATTATAAACTTTGTACTAAGCTTTTTTTTTTTTTTAAAGATTTTATTTATTTATTTGAGAGAGAGAACAAGAGAGAGCACAAGCAGGGTGAGGGGTAGAGAAAGAGAGAGAAGCAGACTCCCCACTGAGCAGGGAGTTCGATGTGGGGCTCAATCCCAGGACCCCAGAATCATGACCTGAGCCAAAGACAGATGCCCAACCGACTGAGCCACCCATGTGACATTGTTGCCTTGCCTTTTCTTTCTTTCCTTTCCTTCTTTTCTTTCTTCTTTTCTTTCTTTCTTTCTTTCTTTCTTTCTTTCTTTCTTTTCTCTTTCTTTCTTTCTTTTTCTTTCTTTCTATTTAAATTCAATTTGCCAACGTATAATACCCAGTGCACATCTCATCATGTGCTCTCCTTAATGCCTGTCACCCAGTTACCCTACCCTCTCACCTCCCCTTCTGCACTTTTGTACTAAGTTTAACTAACTCAGTAGTGGTATTAACAAAAAAGTAAGAACAACCTAGCTTAGTGAGGCAGGTTTGAGAAATGGGATCCAGGGCTATGGGAGTTAAAAAAAAAAAAGTTCTGTTTTTTTCCAACACCTTTTTATTATTGGGTAGGTGGGTCATTTTCCATATATTCGACCAAATTAACCCCCATAAATAAGTGAAACATCAGAGAACACACACCTTAGCATATATTTTTGCTAAGTGGATCTGATTTGTGTCAACTTATTCATATGATGCCAATAAGTAGGTGTGGCAGCAGGCCAGGCAGGGGTCAAGATTCAGTGGAATACTAGGACTGATTTATTCTGTTTGTTCATTCACTCATTTATCTTGTTTCAGAAAGTATTTAAGGCAGCTAGCTTCGTGAATTTTATAATGAAAATCATAATAGATGACTAAACTTAAATTTCTCAATTCACATTTATATGGCACTTTAAAGCTTTTAAAGTTGTCTTTACACAGTTTTGTTTAAATAAAATGAAAGGCCTCTAGTCACTTATCAAACATTTAAAATAAATCCTTTAAAATGAATTTCTTATAACACTTGATTTTATATGATATTTTATAAAAATAATTCGAAGTTATATTTGTTTTTGCTGGTAGATAAAAGTACCTTTTCTTTTTAAAGGTCCACAGATACTTGGTCTAATAGTGTTGTTGGGGCTTTGACTTCTTCTAAAATAAAATCACCACAATCATTACAAGAAAAAATTTGAACAAAATCAGCTATGACTATTTTATTATAATATATCTAAGGACATACACTAGAAAAAGACTGTGTAGTATTACATCGTTTTATTGCTTTTCTCTAAATATGGGTTAAAAACAGGAATGCTCAGGATAGCAAACTGTCTTGTAATTTATAAGGATTCATGATTTTCTGAAATTGTGAGGGAAAAAAACTAAAAAGATCTACAGTTCTGGTTGTGACATGCCTTGATTAAAGGTGAAAATCATAGGTAAATGATCAGGTACAGTTGTTTATTTTTTTTAAAGTTTTTTTTTGTTTCTTTATTTATGATAGTCACACACAGAGAGAGAGAGGCAGAGGGAGAAGCAGGCTCCATGCACCGGGAGCCCAACGTGGGATTCGATCCCGGGTCTCCAGGATCACGCCCTGGGCCAAAGGCAGGCGCCAAACCGCTGCGCCACCCAGGGATCCCCAGGTACAGTTGTTTATATTCAAGAATTAGCTCTTATCCTTATTACCAAGCTTGGAGAGAAAGACTGTGTTCAAACAGGGCTAATGAATTACTGATTCTTCGAATGTTCATATGTACTTACATGTTCTTAGTCACTTGATTCTTTTTAACGTACAAAATAATAAAACAATGACATTTTAATTTAGCTAAAACATGACTTCTTTGGTTGTCACAGAACATGGAGCTATAATTTATTTTAAGTTTCTAAAATTCTTATTTTATAAGCAATTTGGTATTTTCATATAAGATGAACTTACACTGTAAATCGTTGTGCAGGATTAGGAATAGGACTTGGAGGCAAAGTGGTGCAACCCACACAAGTTTGTAACGATGGAGGCAAACATTGCTATAACCAAATTAGAACAGAGGTTTTAAAACCACCACTCTTCTCAGAAAACAGATCAGTGGTTTCCTAGGATGGGTGGGGGGTGGGGAGGAGGATATCACGTGCAAAAGATCACGAGGACATTGTTTAGAGTGTGGGAACTATTCTATATCCTGATTATGGTTATGGTTACAGGATTGTACACAATTACCAAAATTAATCAAATTATATACTTAAAAGCTGCTGACTTTTGTTACATGTTAATAATAGTTCAAGAAATTAAAACGAAGGGAAAAAATGTCCTTTAGAATCAGATGTACTATGACAAAATATATCCCCCCAAAATGTGTGTGGTGAAACATTAATATTTTATAAATATTTCAAGGAACACAATTTCTTAGGCTCTCCTTTCTTACCTTCCCAATTCCCTTGGTAGGAGAAGTTGCTGGGGATACTGGAATTAAATCAATGCACTTTGAAGATGGTTTCTCTAAATCACCGTCACTCTGTGTCAGCAGAAAGCAGTGTACAATTGTAGCACCAATTGCTTACCTATCACATACTTAGGGAGAGAACTGCTGCATGGGGAAGGGAATCTTTACTGAGTCATGGTCGTACCATGGTGAGAAGCTCACATTGTCCTAAAGCAAGCAGGGGAGCCAAGATTCACTTCATTTTCTCTTTTTGGTAAAGAGAGCTCTATGGCAAGTCTAGGAGCTTGCCTAGTGTCCCCAAAAGGTCTAGAATGTGAGTACTTGATATTGTGTGATACTTACCATATATATACAAATCCTAAATTAAAGTTTTTCTCTTTGCATTGGACCTGTGCTCTGTTATTGAAAACTATGATATTATGTCAAGGAAACAATCAAAAAGGATTTGGTTAGAACTAAGATACAAATGGAACAGTAAAAATTACTGCAGCTATATAAAAACTGTTGATAGATTTTATGTGGATAAAATCAGTACTGCATAATTCAGGACTTTAAAATGTGCTCTTTATTTTCTGAAACACAGTAAAATTATGTTACATATTCCCTTCGTTTTCCTAACACATTCATAGGTTCACTCACTTGTGCCAACACCTGAATAATTAAAATTGGGTCAGTTAAGAGAATCGAACAGTATATATAAATTGTATTAGCACCAAATATGAAAAGGGATAGGCTCCAGAGGTTATCTACTCGGGACCTACTCCTGAATCAAGGATAGATGTCCATCTAATACACTCAGGGCTCAAAGGAAAATAAGATGGTACTGTTTCTGCTGATGACCCATTTCCTAATCTAATAACTCCCAAATCTGAAAGCTGAATCTCTTCTATGCAAATTTCAGCTCAATTCTATCATTATCTGAGATGTCCATGGAAAAAAACCCTAAACATCATTCAACTTCCACAACTAAGTAATCATAATGTGTACAGAGACATTAAAAATGCTAGCAGGGGATGTAATTAAATTCCAAATATGTTCAAATTAAAAATAGTATGTTAAAATTTTAGTGGGAGTACATGCATTACAGGCATAAAAATGTAGTATTTATCCAGGAAAACCATTGTCTGTGGTTTAAAACCCTAATATCTAGTTAATAAATTCTGTAGGAAAGAGTGAAATCATTTATTGTTTTGTCATCTAAGCAATGTGACCAGCAGACCTGAACTTTTCTTAGATTCACCAGGACAGAGATTCTATTTCTTAGAATCACCATTGTTGTGATCCACAACAATGACAGTTTTGTATTAGACAACTATTTACTTTGAACCTCACTTTCAAATGATGTCAGTTATTTTTATGAATAAGTCATCAACTGTTTCTTAAGGAGAAATCAAAAATTACTTATGAGGCATATAAATTTAAGTTTCAAATGAGAGCTTACAATTCTAGAAATTACAACAAAACTAGGTAAGGCCAACACTGAAAAATCAGTAAAAATTTCAAATTTTCTATAAAATTGAAGTGTTAATATCATACCAGGTTCAAACTTGCTTCCCAAGACCGACTTATCTGTATTGCAGTTTGTACCTTCCTGCAAAAGAAGAGACATCAGTAGTGGAAGAAAAGATGTGACTGAATATAGAGATGCTCAGAATGATGATTCAAAGTACACTACTCACCATTCATGCATTGCTTCTCTATTTGTTAAATCCATACCTTCTTCCTGAAAGGCAGAATGTAAGAATAAATGAATATCAGATGCTATGGCTTTACAAAATTATTTCATTTGGTTGTACTTTTATTATTATTTACTGGGCTACAGAAGAGCTGGAGTATAAACAAATCTCTAAACAATTGTGTAGTTCTCTACTTTTTATTGTTGCAACTTCTACACCAAAGGTCTATTACTAATGTAGTCCAGTACATCAAATATGCAGAAACTTTTCAGATGAAAAACTTCATAGCTTTCTTCATTTAAAAGAGTAAACATCAAACATTCATTATTATACTATTTTTCCTACCATTAATACTGTGATATTAATAAATATTACTCACAGTCCAAAGCAAACTAAATGTCTATCAGTATCAGTTTGTTTAAGTAAATGATGGTGCGAACATGATTTAAATCTAGTCATTGACAAAGAAAAACATGTATTACATATTAAGTAGAAAAAAGCTCAGATGCTATTTATGTAAAATTATAAACAAGAGGTGTTCAAAGGATGTTCACCAAAAATCTTATCAATAGTAGTGAGATTTAGAGTAATTTGTTCTTTGTTTTTTTAAGATTTTATTTATTTATTCATGAGAGACACAGAGAGAAAGGCAGAGACATAGGCAGAGAGAAAAGCAGGCTCCCTATGGGAGCCTGATGCAGGACTCAATCCCAGGACCCTGGGATCATGACCTGAGCTGAAGGCAGATGCTCAAACACTGAGTTACCCGGGTGCCCCTCTTTCTTTCTTTGTACTTTACCACATTGTTTGAGCTTTTTAAAAAATAAATGCAAATATTACTTCTCATATAGTTATTTAAAAAATAACCCACATATACAAAGATATCTGATGTTCATGGATTGGAAAACTTAGTATTTTTGAGATAGCAATAGTACCCAAAGTGATCTACAGATGCAATGCAACCCTCATCAAAATCCCAGTGGCATTTTTTGCAGAAGTATAAAAACATCCTAAAATTCACATGAAAAAAAAAATTCACATGGAATCTCAAAGGACCCTGAATAACCAAAATAATCTTGAAAAAGAAGAATAAACTTGGAGGACTCACACTTTCTGATTTCAAAACTTACTATAAAGCTACTCATCAAAACAGTGTGGTACTGGCATAAGGAGAGACATATAGACCAATGGGATAGAACAGAGAACCCAGAAATGAACAGCCACACATAGGGTCAATTGATTTTCGATAAGGGTGCCAAACCATTCAATGGGTAAAAGATGGTCTTTTCAGCAAATGGTGCTGGGAAAACTGAACATCCACATACTAAAGAATGAAGTTGAATCCTTTCCTTACACCATCTATACTTGAAATGGATGAAAGACCTAAAGGTAAGACCTAAAACTATAAAGCTCTTATAAGAAAACGTAAGGCAAAAGCCTCATGAATTGGATTTGGTAATGATTTTTCAGGTATAATACCAAAAGCACAGTTAACATAAGAAAAAAATAGATAAATTGGACTTCATAAAAATTTAAAACTTTTGTGCATCAAAAGACACCATCAAGAAAGTGTAAAGACAATCATGGAACTGGAGAAGATAGGGGTACCTGGGTGCCTCAGTCTGTTAAAACCGTTCAACTCTTGATTTTGGCTCACATCATGATCTCAGGGTTGTGGGATCAAGCCCCACATCTGGCTCCATGCTCAGCGTGGAGTCTGTTTGAAGACTCCCTCTCCCTCTCCCTCTGCCCCTCCCCACTGTGCTGGTGCTCTTTCCCTCTCTAAACTAAATAAATTAACTTAAAAATATTAAGATAAACAAATGGTCAATGAGTAAATGAAAGGATGTTCAACATTCGTCATTAAGGAAATACAATTCAAAACTACAATGAGCTAATACTTCACACTCGTTAGGATAGCTATTATTTAAAAATGTGGAAAATAACAAGTGTTGATGAGAATGTGGAGAAATTATAACTCTCATATGTTGCTAGTGGGAATGTAAAATGGTGCAGACTCTGTGGAAGACAGTTTGATGGTTTCTTAAAAAGTTCAATATTGAATTTCCATATGATCCACCAATCCTGTTCCATGTATATACCTGAAAGTATTAACAATGGACTCAAACAGGTACTTGTACACCAGTGTTCATAGTAGCACTATTCACAACAGCCAAAAGGTGGAAACAACCCAAGTGTTTGTTACTAGATGAATGGATTAAAAAATGGAGTTATCATTTGGCCATAAAAAGGAATGAAGTTCTGATACATGCTACAGCATGGATTAATACTGCAAACATAATATTAATTGAAATAAACACAAAAGAACAAATATATTTTTAATCTTTTAAATTTTTTCTTAAGATTTTATTAATTTATTCATGAGAGACACACAGAGAGAGGCAGAGACACATGCAGAGGGCGAAGCAAGCTCCTCATAGGGAGCCCAATGCAGGACTTGATCCCTGGACCCGGGATCATGACCTGAGCTGAAGGCAGACACCCAACCACTGAACCACCTAGGAGTCCCAGAGCTACCCAGGCATCCCTCCCACAGTCAAAATTCATCCTGGTATTCTTAAAAACATATTTCACACATAATAAAGTACCTAGGATAGTGCTGGGCAAATATAGTGGTAAATATTATGGAGAACATCAAATAAGCAGATGAGCTTTCCCTAAATGGCCTAGAATCATATTAGAGAGACAAATTTTATACACATTAATTTGGTGTTCTCCAAAGTAAGCATGATCCCAGGATACAATGAAGTATACAAGATGATCCACCGAGAAGCAAAAAGAAAACCATAGAAATTCAATTTATATATTTTAAAATCTAAGATAGTAAGAAATGAAAGTTTGCTAATAGTATACAGATTGATACAGGTGCCCTCATTCAGCCCAGAGGGTCCAAAGATCTTGCAAGAAACCAGCGTGATTTTGGCCTTTAGCTAAATTATAACTAATTCCAGGTTAGATGGCCATATGGATATACTATTTAGTTTTAATTAAACAGAGTTCCACAAAATAGACAAGTATCTTAACAAGATTTCTATAAAGAAATGTTGGACAGATTTGTAATACAAGTCTAAGTGAATGACAGGGAAATGACAAAGGTGAAGCTCCTAGCACAGCACACATCATCTGCCATCTGCTTGTGAAAACACAATGCTGAGCTAATCTCTATCAAGGAGCTGGCTAAAGTAATTTTAAATCATGAGGACTATTGGAAATATGAATTCATATTCACTCTCAATAATGACCTATAGTTAATAAAATATTTAAAATGTTCTAAAACCATAATTTTACCTTTATCTTATCCTTTTTAAAAAGATTTTATTTATTTATTCATGAGAGACACAGAGATAGGGGCAGAAACATAGGGAGAAGGAGAAGCAGACTCCCTGTAGGAGAGTCTGATGTGGGACTCGATCCCAGGATCCTGGGACCACGACCTGAGCCAAAGGCAGACACTCAGCCACTGAGCCATGCAGGCACCCCTATTTCATCCTTTTTATATTAGTATTTTGCATATATTCAATGATTCATATTATATACTAGTTTGGTAGTACATGCCCATCATGTATTGGAAGGATGTGCTAAAACATTTTGCATTGGTGCAGCGTATGATTAGAAGAGTTTAAATAGTATTGTCTACATAAACAATATATGTTATGGGTGGTCTGGAATAGAAGAGTGGCTTGTGTTGTGTGAATTAAAATGTGACCTAGGCCTTGAAGGTGGTTTCAAATCTGGCAAGCCAAGGGTGGAAGATATGCCAAGCAGAAGGAACCATGTGAACAGAAGCTTAGAGGCAGGAAGGCACGTGGCTGGTTTCAGGGTAGTGAGGCTAGCTTGACTGAAACAGTCTGTACTAGGAAGTCATGAGAGAGAAAACTGGAGAGGGAAAATAAGGCCAGATTTCCAAGATCTTAAATAACTGAAGGGTTTGAGCTTTAAGAGTTTGGGCAGAATAGCATAGTTAGTTAGGACCAGGCTTTGGAGCCAAACAGAACTGGGTTGAATCTCAGCTCCGTAACTTATTACCTGTGCAACCCTAGGCAAGTGACTGAACCTGAGCCTCGGTCTCCTTGTCCATATGAAGATGATGATAAGACTTGAGGCTAACAAAGCAGGTGTACAGTTTCTTTTCCACAGTGCCTGGCAACCTATATAAGTAAGTACTTACTACAACCGAGCTATCCTTATTCTTATTTTTAAAGATTTTATTTATTTGACAGAGACAGCAAGAGAGTGAGCACAAGCAGGGGGAGCGGCAGGCAGAGTAAGAGGGGAGGGAGAGAAGTAGGCTCCCTGCTGAGCAAGGAGACTGATGCTGGGCATGATTTGAGCTGAAGGCATACGCTTTATTGACTGAGCCACCTAGGCACCCCTCTTATTCTTACTCTTATTCAGTAGGTAATGGGAAGTCATTTTAACATTTTGCACAGGGGAGGAAAAGGTGAAAATGAAGTCTTCAAGAAGTTATCTTAGTGGTGGTTGTAGAAGTTGGATTAAACTGGCAAAGATAGGAAATCTCTTAGAATATTATTATAGTAATCTGGACCCAAGAGACAGAAGGGAGTGGGAACAGAGAGGATGTTGTCAAGGAAGAATTAACAGGATTCAATGCTTAATTGGATACTGTAGAAAAATAAGGAAGAACTGAGGGTGAATCTAGAGCTTTGAGTTATTCTAAAGTCATTATGGAAAATGAGGGAAATTGGGAAAGGATGTTTAAGAAGCTAGTCTTTTAAAACAGTGGAATAACAGTAAATCTTTTCAACAAAATGTGAGGTTAGTATAGTTCTTCCATTTAATACTTATGTAGGTGTTTTCCTGTAGTGAAAGGCTCAAAGTATTTTGTAATTTACTCAACCAACAAGAGTAATTTTTCCCAAAGTAGGTTAGGATTTTGCCTATTGTTCCTCCCATTGAAAGAGCATTAGCCAACATCAACTATTTTGAGGGTTGTTAGTAAAAGCAGGCTAACTCTTTTATTGTTTATTCTTGCCTATTTCCAAAACGGATATGAGATGCTTATAAT